GGCGGGGCGGGGGCCGCTCTGCCCGAGGGTCCGGTCAGTAGAGCGAAGGAACAACCCTTCCCGGCTCCGGAGTGTGAGCGCTGGGCTGGGCCCCGACTGTCCCCCGCCTCCCCCTTCCCCGGGGGCCTTCCCATAGAGTCAATGGGCAAGGCAGCGGGAGAGCGAACTGCGCAGCTTGCGGCAGGAGGGATCCCTGGTGGCCTAGGTGCTGCCCCGCGTGCGCCTGAAGAAGTGTGGTGGAGAGGGAGAGGAATCCTTGGTTCGGTGCAAGCCACGTTATGCTGCGATGGGAGTGGGGTGAGATGAGTATCAGAGGAAAAATCCCTCCTCATCACGTGCAAGTTTTGGGGGGGCCCTAAGGTGAGGTGGGCGTTGAAGGCTGGACGCTTGAAGTAGGGTTGATGATGGAGCAGGACTCGTTTCCTAGCCATGTGTTGTTGAGGCAAAAGTTGCAGAAATAGATGAGAGAATGCTTGGCCAGCTGTGAATTAGAGAAGAACATAGATGAGGAATCCTCATCCAATAGCAAGTTTATAGTAAGGGTGTTAAGTATTGGGTAATTGACTAATAAAATAGTTGATGCATTTTTTTCATCGACTATTCGATTAGTCGATAGGGCACCTCTGCCTTTGAAGTGTAGTAAAGAGCTGCTGCTACACTTCAAAGGTGAAAGTGTTGAAGCCCAGGGGTCAGCTGGGGACTGCCCCACTGCATGGAGTCCCCAGCTGATCCCAGGCTCCCTGCAGTGGTGCTGCTGCTTTGAAATGCTGTGTGGAGCTTGGGATCAGCTGGGGTGACCCCGGGCTCCACATGGTGTTTCAAAGTGGCAGCGTCACACAGAGCCTGGGATCAGCTGGGGACTGTGTGTGGCGCTGCCGCTTGGAAATGCTGCGAGGAGCCCAGCATCGGGCGCCTCGTCCATTTCAAAGTGGCCCCACCACACTGAGCAGCTGACCCTGGGCTTCCTGTGATGCTGCTGCTTTGAAGTACCCCTTCCTCTTCCTCCCCCCACTAGTCCTTCACATCCCTAGTCTCTAGTAAGTGAATTGATGCAGTAATACATCCACAACTATAATTTTAATAATAATAATAATTTCAAATTGAGAGATATCTACAAGAGAGTATTGTACAGATCACAAGCTCATATGAAAAAGTGGGGTTTGCCCATGAAAACTCATGATACTATATGTATTTGTCTCATTGTTTTTTTTAATATACAGACTAACACTGCTGCCCCTATGAAGCTTTTCCAGATCAATGTAGGTATTTGGGGGACAGCTGGAGGTGAGGAAGTCATGATACATAGCCAACCCCTCCTTCCCCCACTCTCGGTAGCATTTCATGATAGTCTTCAAACAGAGCCTGCCTTAGGGAAAACATATTAAAAGCCTTTAATTATATAATTAACAAAATTTGGCTCTGTAGTGGGTTAGCAGTGGTCCCTCCCTTTCTGGGTCAGTGGGAGTGA